GTTTTCCTTTGTATAGTTTGCATTGCTAACACCTGCCGTGTTTCCCCACCTCGCTTGTTTGCCAACTTACTGACTACTTATTTGTCATTTCTATTTTTTAGCATTCTCATTTAATTTTTTTTTGTTTTTAAATTTATTTGCTTGTTTATCAACCTTTGTTTTAAATTGTTTAGGCCAATGTTGACATTGCACGTGAAACTCTGACAACAGCTTTTTTGTATATACATACATACATATGTAGACATTTTCTGTTCTGCATAAAAACCCCTTCGCCCACTCTAGATAAAAACTGTTAAGTCAAAACAACATGAACTCAGTGGGCAGATAAAACATGAGGAAAAAATGCGGCAAACAATAAACTGAACTCTTCTCCACCGCTTGCCGAAAATATATAATAAATTGAATATTAATGAGAGAGTCTAGAAGAGAAGACAGAGATCCTATGTGGTTTTATGTGCAATAGTAGCTCCACCAGCAGTTCTTTCCTTAAGGAATATTGAAAAACCTCATCAAATAATTAATATTTGGAATCTGTTGTTGAAGTTACTTTATTCATTCAGTTCTTTCGTGCCTAAACTTTTGATTACCATTATTGTTATTATTATTTAATATACGGCTACCCACTCAATTATGCTTTAATTTATGCATGAATTAAACACATATGTATATACATATATATGTGCATACGAACGGACATAGTACATATGTATGTCTCTGAGTGCTTGCTTGCTGTTCGTCACAATACAGCAATGAAGAGACAAATTATGCTCCGTCACGAGTTACGGGCGTAAAACGGCGACGCCACTTCCTCCAATAAAGACGTAGTCGCACACTGACCTCCACTTAAATTGCTTCTTATTTCATTTGGTTTGTTATTTTTATTGCCTTCTGTTAGATTTCCACTCGCTGTTATAGTTTTTGATACTCTATGCGTGTCTTTCCCGCCTGCAATTGTAATTTTATGCACGCCTCACAAAAGCATTTAAATATTACAAAAGCTGCTGAAATGTTTGAACATGTTTACAATTTTAGAGAGCTTCCTCCTTGGGAATAAATTCGGAAACAATTTTTTGTAATATGGACAAACATTTTATTAGTTTCCTCGTGATATACATTATGTTTCTAGAATTAACTAAGTCGTTTGTTGATCACCCTAAGAACCTTTAAGTCTAGCTGCATTTTTTGTGCCTTCGAAACTAAAACTGAAATTGATTTGAGATTGATAATAATGATTATAAAATTATAATACTAATAATAATAAAAACATCGCGACGAAATGCAAAAACCAGATTGCCGTGTAGGCAGTCAAGTCTAAGTGGATGTATATTGTATTAATTAACAACAAACAAACATACAAACAAACTTATCAAGTATACGCCATGCTGTGCAACTAGTTTTTGAGCACGAAAAAGAAGCAAACACCATAAGCATTAGAAAATAGTTTACACGCTCGGTTGGTCGGCTCTGCACTAAACTTGGCCTAAGCAACATTAGAAACACTTTATAGCCGTGCCCGATCGATCCACAAACGTAAATCGTAAATCGTCAAACAAGTTTGCCTTTTGAACAGGTTTTCTATATGTTGATCGAGTGGGTGGGTGTGTGTTGTGTGGTGTGCACCAATTTTTCTATATTTTCATAGATTCCAGTTGACGTTGTCGTAGTGGTTTTCGTGATGCACAATTAATGCTGGGAGGGAAAAATTCATTTGAACAAAGCTTGTGGGCTTGGCTGAAATGTCAAGTTAAAGGTTGAACAACATTTATTACTCATACGCCGTGATTAGCGTATTTGCTTCTTATTCATTTTCCTTTGTTATTAATTATTGCTTTGTTTTGTTTGTTTTTTTTTCTCCGCTCCACAATTTGCATGCCAAATGGCATTATATGGTTGTTGTCGCTGTCATTTGGGGTTTCGATAAATCGAAGCGCCAATAACATATGTCATTTTTTAAATGCTCATTTGTACTGCCAGTGGCGCTACCACCGCCACCTAAAGACCTGTCAATTTAAAGCTGTTGCTTTTAACAGGTAGCAGCAGTTTTTTTTATAGATATATACAAAGTATAATATACGGTATGGTATATTTTTCAACAAAAACAACAACAGCTTTAGTGGAATCAACCCAAAAAGCATTGTCACACCTGACGCGTGTCAACTCTTGAGCGTCATTTATCTTGGATTTTGTTGTTTTCGTCGCTGGCTTTGCGACTTTGTTTTGCTTTAGTTGATATCTAAATATGGCTCAACTAGCTCAGAAACCGCTTCACATTGAAATTCGGCGCCGTTGTTGCCAAAATTTCTATTCCATTTATATGTTTAACAGCAGTTTTAGTTTGTTTTTAAAAGATGAAGAAAAAAAACAACCACAAATCGCTTTTAATTTGATTTACATATTTATTTACGGCGACTTGTGCAGCTTCAACTTTAGTCACATTTGCATTAAAATAGTGAGTTGCCTATAAATCACATTGATTAATGATGACTTTTGTATGTGTATCGCAAGTCTATCAATTAACCTGTCTAATGTTGGCTACCAAAATATGTCAACTGAATTTTAAAAAAATCGCAGAAAAACGTGTAGCTATTCCACAAATTTTCTTCATAAATAAAATTTCCTAATGAGTAGTTTTAAATTAATGTACTGAAAAACAAATCATCTTATATTTGATAGTAAAACTTTTTTTTTTAAGGTGTACGACTGTTTTTTTTTTTTTTTGCAAATCTATCCAACAGTGATGATGGAGGCGTGGCAGACCCCCTGTTGGAGATCCAAATACTTGTACGATCAGCACGACTAGACAAGTAGATAGAGACATGTCCGTTTGTCCAGCATTCAATCTTCTGTCGATCAGTTCGTCCATATGAGCGTCGAGAACTTCTTAACCATTACACCCAGTCACACCAAACTTGGTATCTAGACGTGTCTTATCCATATACGAAGCTTTTTTATTACCACACATATATAGCCTCATTATTATTTTATGTTGCTGCCATTGGACCAATCGATGGAAAAATCAGACTTAGTAGAATACCTTCAAAATATCTTCAACAAATTTGGTATTTATGATTTTTGTATACTTTCTCACCATAATCTACAGATTTATCAAAGTCGGCTCAATATATCTTCTAGCTGTGATAGGAAAGAGCAATGCAAAAGTCCAACATAGTACTGAAAATGTTTATCTTTATTTAGATAACGTAACCAAATATTTTATTTCTAAATGAAGAATACTCGTACAAATAAATTGTTTTGATTTCATTTCGCTTTCTTTATTTCGTCATTATTATGCATATAATTTGGAGTTTAAAAAATGTCAAAGGGGTTATGATTAAGATGTGATATTTGTAAGTTCTTATAGTATTTAAGTCACTTCCAGACTTCAGTAGACAATAGTTCGGAAGGAACTAAGAGTGCTGGTACGAGTATAAATAGGCATAAATATAATAACTTGAGTTCTAGTTTCGGAGAGTTATGCCCATTTTTCTGCGAAGATCATCTATAGTATATAAGTTGACACATTAGAGATACTTTGGATTACTCAAGTGCAAATTATTACTATGACTATTTTCATGTGATATATACTGAACTATATACATAGTAGTGTCTAAATTAAGCGATAAGCATCCCACTGATTATAAGCACAGAACAACTTCACGACTACATAAATACATACACACTTATGTATTTATAGCTATACTAAGTACATGCGAACGCGGCACTATCAAGCAACTAAGAGAAGCGAAAAAACAACGTCTGGCAAGAAATAAAAGATAGTAAACTGAAAAGTCATTGAACGCTTAATAACAACGCCCTAGTTTTGAGCGCATAGAGTTATTTTAGAAACGTCTAAAGTGTGTAGTATTATTAGAAGAGCTTTGGGTCGGCTTTTAGAAATGTTATCAAGCTATAAGTAGATAAGGAATTACTTTTATAATAATAATACTTCAGATATTAAATTTCAATGACATCCAACATCCATTGCCATCACTATTTTCAAAAAATCTTTTTAACCTCGCACTGAATTGCTTCTTTTGGATGGGAAAGTGTTAGAAAATAGAAAAGAAATAATCGAGTCAAAGTTTCTTAATATTTCGTACTTGATTTTACTTATTTATTAAAAATAGATGATATATAGTAAGTGCGACTATGTATAAACACCATACTTAGCAAAACTGACCCTTAATTCTGTTTCCTAAACGCATGCCAGCATATTAGTGAAATCGAATTCTGGTCCACCAATATCCTATTTTCTGCGCTACGACAAATTATTCGAAGTTGTCTTCTTTGGTTTTTTATCAAGATGTATTGCAGCTTTAGTTGCTCTTGTTCTTCTTGCTCTTCCCTTATCTCATCTCATCCCCAGCATAATTCAGATTTCTTTGCAGTTTCCTCAACTGCCCTCAACAGGTTGACAACTATGCTATTATATTAATATTTAATCTTATTGATTTTATGCATAAGTCCTTTGTCGAAATAAGGCTGTGGACATTTTTATCACACTTCGTCATCCTAATTGGTTAGCTTGAAACAAGGGGAACTGTGTTTGGCCTAACAATGTAGGGCTTATACACAAATTCAATTACAATTTTCCAGCCTCTTTTTTGACAATGGTGTCATGCTAAGGCTGGTCCACTTAGCCCAGTCGCACTTGGCTTAAGTGCATTGCAGCGTAAATTCCAATTAGAGCTTGCCAGCTTTCAAGCAACGAGTGGAGGAGTCAGATAAATCCTTGGCCTGCATGTTTTGCAGTATTAATTAAACTCTGCACAAACTAAACAATATGCATTGTTTCCCCCATATCTCAGCAATGCAGCTGCGTCACTTGCGAGTGAATATATGATCAAGGACAACAGCAATTCATTAATACAAGTTATGTCGGGTTTGGGTGTTGATGGCTGCTCAATAGTCTGCATTTAAAGTTGTCCTAAAACAATTATTATTATTTTGTGCAACCCAATTGATTTTATTTTATTTTTGTTCTTTTGTTGTTTTTTCAGTTGCCTGCAAAAGACTTTGAAATGGATGATCTCGATGATTTTGATCAGGTTACGCAGGTGATTGGATATCATCCGCTATTTCGTGATCATTTTCTGCGTACGCAGAATTTTATAATGAAAGGTGATGGACCTTTGCCCTATGATTATAGATACTATTTGGCGATAATTGTAAGTAGTAAATCAGTTAGCTTCTAAGCAATAACAATAATAACCGCTTAACACAAAAGATTACTAAATTATTTATTAAATCATACTACTATCGCCCAGTCGAGCGGAATTCGAAAACAAAACGAAGTTAAAAGCTTGAATCTGTGATCCTTGAAAATATACGTAGAGTACTTCAATCTCTTTCTAGCTGTGAACAAAGTAATCAAAAGACTTTTTAAATTTAATATCGATTAAGAGACAAGTGTTATACAAATAACTACTAAACCGCACAATATTTTGGATTTGGTATGTCTTGGATAGGGGGTTTGAGATACCTTTTTTAGGCATTCATAGAGCAGACAAATCAAGTTTGAAGTGGGTGGATTGAAAATTAACATTTTTAAAGTTCCTCTTCCCCATTTGAAGAGCCAATATCTATAATTTGTTACATCATGTAAAATCTCCTTAGCTCTCTCAGTTGATTGCCTATCAGTCAGTTTTATGTACAAACATGCTATAAATACAAATTAAATGAAATATATTTAATCCAAATCGGGTTCAAAGTATAGCCTCAAAGGGTAGCGCTTACCTTGCAATGTTGTAACCGAACTCGCATAGTCAGTATGTACTTGTGTCAGAAAATGCGTCGGGGCTGTGGCCAGGTCCCTCTGTTCATTGGTGCGTGCAACAAAACTAAAACGCACTCTCGAATAAATTATTGCTTTTAGTATGTGCAATAATCATAAAATAGACGAAATATATGAGTGTATATATTCAATGGGACTTGCCTTTTGCTGTTTCGGGTCTTTGGTTTTATTTTCTCGAAAATAATAAACACATTCATTCATACGCATGCCAACAAATTGGGGACGATTTGCGCATTTACTCACACAGAAATGAGTCCAATGGATGCGCTGTAATATATGGAACCGTAATGTTCTTAGAACATACCGCTCTAAGCATACCTATTTTCATATCCGATTAAACTTTGCGACAACTTGAAAAACTTAAACATTTTCAAAATTTGTTTAGATGTTAGGTAGCAAGTTTGGAGGCAACAAAACCACATGTAATTTTTAACACACTTATAGGCATATCATTTTGCTTCTTTATATTGTTCTGTAATATTTGTTGTTCTTCAGTTGCTTTTTAAAAAGCAGCAAAAAACGAAGGTTAAACCTTAATTAAATGTTAAAGAAACAATTTATAATCATTTGGAGCTATCGAAATGCTCTTAAATTGATAACAGAATCTGACATCAGTCTCACGTGTCAAATAGTTACTTAAATAACAAAAGGGAAAAATATCGTCAGCTTATACACATCTGAAAGAACTACTGGCTGAATTTGTTGATTCCACCTCGAGAAACCCTAGTACAGTTTAGAAGAAAAATGTGTTTGCTTAGAAGAACCTGCACAATTAGTTTGGTGACTCAACTTTCTATTGTTTCCGGGTTATTCGGTTGCTGTATTCAATAGGACGATTCCCTAATACTTATCTGGTGTGGGAGATCAAAGAAACGAGATAATGCAGCGTAATCGAGAGCCGACCAGAATTGCATCCAATATGTATGCCTTTTCTGAAAGAGGGGCACCCAGTCATAGAAATGTAGAATTATTTAAGATTTACGATGGCATGTCAGGGCATGGCATGATTATGGTACAAGCCTCATTAATGACGCAGCGCCAACGACGGCGAAAACGACAACAACCACAACAGCAACAACAACAGCAGCAACAACAACAACAACAACAATAGAGCAATGCGCACAACCATGACAAACAAGAAGCAAATCAAAACAATGGTCTAGGCATTTAAATATCTTTGTATGTATGTGTGTGTGTGTGTCGTTCTGGGTCACACACTCACACAGACGACTAAAAAGCGTAAACATATTTTTAGCACTTTTTCAGGTTTTGTACATATTCTTCTAGGGGGCATCCACACACCCAATGGCGCACACCATGAGAGACTACTTGTATTTCCATAGGCATACCCAAATCCACACTCGTACAGGCAACGGGCATTCGCGTATTTGTTTGTGGCTCAATTTTTGACAAGGGTCAAACTTTTGAGCATACTTGTATTAATTTATTTTTATTGAGAAAAAACACACACATTTGAGTTCCAGTGCCATGCTTTGGAATGCTTGTGCTGTTTTTCAAATGCTCTTTTTTTCTGTTCTAAGGCCAAGGTTACAAAACATCTTACGCAATTCTGAATAATTTTAGCCAAAGATTCTCCGTCAGATTGAGTGCTAAACGCTTTTTCCATTTCTTATTTATTTTTCTGCAGGCAGCTGCACGCCATCAGTGCCCCTATCTGGTGAAACGCTACGAGAAAGAGTTCATCAATCAGGGCGGCAACTGTGAATGGTTGAATGGTTTGGACTTCATTCCCGCCAAATTACGTGCCATATACGACATAAATAAGATATTAGCCCATCGACCTTGGCTTTTGCGAAAGGAACATATCGAGGTACATAAGTACATATATATGTCGAACATATGGCTTAATTTTGACCCATACTCTGCTATTAACAGCTCCTAACGAAGGGCCACAATAGCTGGTCATTGTCAGAGGTGGTGCATGCTATGGTCTTGCTATCGCATTTCCATGCACTGTCATCGTTTGTTTTCTCCTGCGGCCTGACACAAAAGCTTGATGGTCTGTCTAGTCCCAAATTGAAAAGTGCATCAGCACTGCAAGCGACACCAGCCAATGAAAGAAGGACAGCTGGTGCTGATGTCGCCACGCGCCAAACCACAACAACGCCCATACATCAGCAACAACAGTTTCTGCTGCAACAGCAACAGGAGCAACAAAAATCTCTTATAGGTGAGAACAACATTAACATAGTCTTCAATTACAATAACTAAACCACCTACAATAGGGGACCGCGATGCCAGCAAAAGCAACACTGATATCGACATTGGAACAGATGCGCTCGGCATAAGCAGTGCCAATGGATATTTGGGTAGGTCGTGTTATCCTTAGAATTAATTACTTATCCTACAGTTGTTTCCTTGCCAAAACAGTTAATAGTCAAAGAGTCTCTTGGCAGTTGTCAAACAGTTCCAAGTTTGGAATGAGCAGAGCTTCAAAGTCTCTAAGAATGCAGTAATTTAGCTGCAAAATTTCTTCATTGACAGTCGTAACGTTCACTATGATTTAGAATCACAGAGATTTCATTTTCTACAAAAAAAGTCCAATTGTCTTATTTCGCTTGTATGTATGTTATTAGACACAGAAATTTGATGCATAAAATAACACTCAATAAAACGACTATCTAGAGACCATTCAAAGATATATATCAAATGAAACTGAATAAACAACATTTTTCATGAATAACACAAAACTCGCATAATTGCTTGCCACTTTTGAACTGATCCGATTTGGACGCGGAATCATTTGAAAATGTATGGGCAATTGATTTAAAATCGGAGCACACATTCTGAAAGGATATTTCAATATGTACATCTACAGTGATAATTAAACTAAATCAATTATTTAGAACAGTCTAGGGATAAACACTTAACAATTACCGATTCGCTGCAAAGCGCTATTTCAATGCTTTAATTGATTAATTAATTAATTAATTAATCTTGAACTAGGCATAGTGCAAGAATATATTAAATATCTTCTTGAAACTATTATTGCTATATAGTACTTGAAGAAACTTAATGCAAAGCTCTAGCTGGTTTTCTAATATTATTTTACTTTTAGCCTTCTCCGCTGCAAAGCGCTATTTCAATGCTTTAATTAATTAATTAATTAATCTTGAACTAGGCATAGTGCAAGAATATCTTAAATATCTTCTTGAAACTATTATTGCTATATAGTACTTGAAGAAACTTAATGCAAAGCTCTAGCTGGTTTTCTAATATTATTTTACTTTCAGCCACGTCCCAGCAACAGCCTCAGCAACATGGCATTTCTGTGGAGACGTTGATGGAGCGCATGAAGGTTCTGTCCCAGAAACAGGACGAGTGCAGTGAAGCTGAGCTAAGCAATCGTTTCAAAAATGTGGAAATGCAAACAGCCGAGTTAGCGGCCGTAACACCAGAGACTACTGTGGCAGTGCCCCACATAATATCCCATTACGTGCACGATCCAAATTTTGTATATGAGGACTTTGCACGTCGTGGCGCTGAGAATATACCAAACACATTTCGCATTCAAGACTACTCCTGGGAGGATCACGGCTACTCGCTGGTAGAGGAGTAAGTGCAACATTCTAATCTGATAGGAGTTAAATCATTATATTATGGCTGGACTTGCAGTTTATATAAAGATGTGGGCAGATATTTGGACGAGAAGTTTCTGGCTGCTTACAATCTGACCTATTTTACAATGGGTGGTATTAAGAATGTCGACACATCCAAGTTTCGACGCGCTATATGGAATTATATTCAATGCATCTATGGCATACGCCACGACGATTACGATTATGGAGAAGTTAATCAGGTAATTATAACTAGCTACATAAATAAGTTGAAACTAATGGGGTTCTTGGATTCGGCAGCTATTGGTGCGCCCATTGAAGATGTTTATAAAGACAGCCTGTTGTTTTCCCGAACGTATTACAACCAAGGACTATGATAGTGTGCTCGTTGAGCTGCAGGACAGTGAAAAGGTTAGTTATACATACATAAAAAATATAAAAGGATAATAATTATACTTGTAGAACCTTCTGTTGCTCTTCTTACAGGTTCACGTTAATCTAATGATAATGGAAGCCCGTAATCAGGCCGAATTACTCTATGCTCTGCGCGAGATAATGCGCTATATAACTTGATCTCATAATGTGAATAAATAAATATGTACACAAAAAATATATTGAAACTGTTGAGCTAGATACTGAACAAATAATAAATATCCAAAAAGCCGCTGCTAACTTGAGATTAGTGCAATAGTAAATGGATACCTACATACATACTATATATATAAGTAATAACCACACATACATAAACAAGCAACAACAACAATATACATATTGTCAAAGAAAATTTTAGATCCAACCACTTTTCATAACTGTCATATTTTATATACGATGTGTGTTTACATACGTAAGTGTTCAAATCAATTCAATAGTCTATGTCTACAATAAAGAATAAAATTACATGCATGTACGTTAATAAAAAAATATACATATACTATACATACAAATAATTATCAACAGAAATAAAATATGAGAGCACTTATTTATTTCTTATTTCAATTTTATTTATGGTTTTTATTTGCAGTTGCCGTTGCATTCGTGTTTTACGATTATTATCATTATAAAGAAATTATTATTACTTCAGCATCAAAATATTTAATACAAATGGTAGTATTTATTTTTTACAATGCAATGGAGCGATAAATGTTTTGGATAAAAACAAACCATCATATACGAATTTAAATGCAAAAATCGAGCTTGTCTATAATTGTCCAGTAAACGTGTAGCCAAGGAGGTTTTAAAGGAATACCTTTAAATAAGTATATCAGATTACAAAATATTACCACCAATAATAAATAGTATATATCTTAAAATCTTCAGGTAAATTTGGACGGGTTGTAAAAATGTATTGGAGAAGCATGCAAGAACCCATAAATACCATTGGTTTTCCATTAGTGTTAAACTTAAATGTTACAGTGGTATTTATGTTAATCATATTTTCTACAATCCTTCTTGTATATATTTATGACATATATGGCTATAATTTATTTTTGGACGTGCTAAAAGTTATTCTCACTATTATTTGTATAGTTTGCTTTGATATTTTGTCAATTTACATAACTCTGATATAAGACAGAGCAAAAGGTTATAGATTCAAATATTCACCATTAAGACATTGGCAAACTTCTAGTTCTAATGCAATCAGAAATTTCTGGTTCGCAGAAATTTGGTTTTAAAAGTATAATTGGCCTTTTTGGCCAAATACACTATGGAGAAAGAAGAGGGAAAAACCAGATGGTATAGAAAGCATTCCGTTCAATAGTACTTCCTTTCTAAAATAAATTGTGAGCTTGTATCTACAAATTATAAAGAGTTTATATTAAGGATGTGAATAAACATCGATTATCTTGGAAAAATGAAAAGTGGCCAAATAATAAATATAATAACATTGGTTCAATGTTGCACAGCTGCTAAAATATTGTAATTTGTATTTCAATAGTAAATTTATGAAGCTTACAACAGTAAACATTACAATACTTTTCGAGCATTTAAATCTTAGCATTATTCTTAAATTTAGGAAAAGTAAAAATGAAGATACATCGACGCCTTCATTTTAGCTACTGCGTTTTTCGTGTCCAATGCATAAAATCGAGGTCCATTTTGGACCCACATAAATCAAATTAAATACACATTTATACCAACATACCATTATTTATTATTTTTAAATCCTCCAGATAAAATAGTAGTGATTCAATGGATTGGAGAAGAATGCAAGACCCCATTTATGTATTAAGATTTCAATTCGTTTTAAACTTAAATGTTATGTTGGCATGTATGTTATGTATCTCCCTAACAACCTTTTTTGTACGTATTTATGACTATTATGGCTATGATGTTTTTTCGGATATGAAAGATGTTGTTATAGTAATTTTTTGTCTTTACTTTCAAGAATTAATTTAGATAGAAATATATGAATATACATACATATGTATTCTTAAATCGAGTTTTTATTAATTTTTTTTAATTTTTAAAATGATGAAATCATTTTAGCAACATTCAAATTATGGTTCATCATTAATTATAAGCAAAAAATATAATTGCGCGTGAGAAAATATTAGTTTATTGTAACGCATTTTTAACGCAGTTAATTAATTCAATGGAAATTCTATTATAGATATAAAAAACTCCAGATCAGAGGGAGAGAGAGAGAGAGAGACGGACAATTTTTTGTCTTTAAAACTATATATGCAAACAAAATAATAATACTATACATATAAGACTAGGTTTTAATCAAAAAATCATCTGCATTTTAAGGACTGTTTTTAATGACTTTTTCATTAAGTTTATAAATGCGCCTTTTTTAAAAAAATATTTAGTTTTGAGTTTTGATATTTAAAAAGGATATATCTATACAAAAAAAAAAAAACACCTATACATACTTTATTATTTATAAATTGTCGGTACGTAGACATGTCGATTTTAAACAAATTCATTACCTAGTTTTTTATAAAACTCTACAATCAATTATATTGTTGTGGTGCAAAGAATATGCTATATTTTATAGTTATATATTTTTATACTCTATACCTGAAGGGTACAAGAGTATATTAGGTCTACAGGAAATGAAAAATGTATTCTTGATCAGCATGACTGTTCATACGCAATTTACGTGAGTTCATAATTATTCGCATAAATGGAGAGTATTTGAAGGTCGGGGCACCCGAAATTAGTTTTTCAACTTGTTTGAGACGACATTTAAATGTGTTTTTAACTTTTAATTGTTATAATCGAAAATGGCAAAGACAGCGTTTCCTTTTAAACGTTAGGCAGGTTTCATCGTCAATGCTGACTTAATGTCATAAACATGCTTACACATATTGGGTCTGTAAGGCCTAAATTCTTAATAATCGAGCAAAAAACTTACTTCTAAATGAATCAAATAATTTAGAGGAATAAGTAAGAAGCAGTACTTTTTCGCTGCAATGTAAGGAAAACTGTATATATAAATCCAAAATGGCAAATATTGTGATTAAGACAAATATATATACATATACTGATGCGTATTTATATACTTGTATTTGGCATATAGAAATAACATAAATATGTATATGACATATAAACTAAAATCTACATAATCGACATAGTTTTCTATAAAATTCTACAAACAATGAAACCACGCATTTAAATTTAAAGTTGTACATATTATTGTTTTATTTTCTTGTTGAGTTTCCAATACCTCAATTATTTTAAAATGCTTTAAATAATCGAAGAGTGTTTCCTTTTAGAGGTAATGCGCTATTCGAATATTGGAATGAATATAAGGTGAAAGGGGTACAGGTGAAAGAAATACTTACAACTCACCATTAAAGTTCAAAAAGAAAGTACCACCGTAGAGTTAAACACAAAACATTTTGATGCCACTCATTAAATTAATCTGTCCATATCTAGAATTTAGCCGCAAAGAGCGATATTTGGACAAATAAACTGGGAACTTACGTATTTAATATACTTGTACTCAATGTATATATTTTAAAACTATGAATACGAATAAACATGAATTTAATATGGTTTAAGAACTATATAGGCATTTAAGCACTCGTATGTATAAGTCATTAAGAACTTTAAGAATTCTTCATGAAATCGAACAATACCAAAAATATTGAGTATGGTTTCTCAAAAATAAAAGAATACTTAGAAATGTACTATTTACCCAGAGAAGTCAGTCTAAAAAAGGCAAATTTGCATTAAGATAAATTAGGAAATTTATAAACGTATAAATTGGGAATTCCATGCTACTTCAATAGAGTATTAAGAACTAAATAAATCACTTTTACATATGTTTTTCACACAACTGCACCTTGATTGGTCAATTGTAGTTTTCCAAGAACAACTAACTGAACATTGCTTGACTGCATTATCTGATTCAATTCTGGGATATCATCAGTCAGGAAGAAAATAACGAGATTTGATTTGATTAGAGCTAAAATGATAGAACTTATGATAGTGGTATAAAATTAACCACTCAGTATCCCGGTTAATAGATGTTCCGAGTCATTGAATGTTCGAATTGATGTTAAACTGTAGTTTGCAATAATGAGCGGGAGAGGCAAAGATATATCAATATATAGCTTCACTCTACACGAGCAATAAGAAGTTATTACATATAGTTTATATATTTAAAAATTTAAATCATGTATTTAAATTATTATAAGACAGTATTTTATGAAGATAATCCCATACGTACAGCAAATATATGCTAATATTACAATTTATACATATGTATACTCGTATATGCAGTACCACAGCATTTTAAAGGTTATATACCTATAGTAGTCAATATAATATCAATATTAAGCAAAATTAGCAAAGTAATAATAAGCAAAAATAAAAATGCAGCAAATGGAAAAATTGGTAAACGAAACTTTACAAGTACTATCTCCTGTAGCTACATAGGAGCTCTAGAAAATATATATTTTAAATATTTAATTTTTGATAAAACATTAAGAGAATACGTTTTCAAGAATCAATTTGGAGATTATTGTATTCCACAAGTCAAATATGGTTAGAGGAGGGATTTGTAAGACATTAACCGAAACAAACAAGAGAAAATATCTGTAAGCCATAACAAATATTAGCTATGTATAGTATTTATTACTATATATTATTAGGACTACAGGCAATCAACAAATATTTGATGTTGAATAGATAATCCCAAATGCACAACAATAATGTTTCGTACGTAGGTGCTGAAACAGAAAAGGCATAATGGAGATATATATTCTTTTTATCTGGCGAATCAATTATCTTGCTTACTAGCCCCTAGACTACAGCTTTTTGCATTTTGTAAAGGTGACTTGATTCGACATTGTCTGATGCCAATTGTTCTAGTGAAATTTCATTTTAAGCATAATTTGGTATTTTCATCCTATCCATTCGTGAATAAATTTTCTTTGCTTCCAAACTTAATCTTTTCGTAGAGCTTAATTTTTTTCTTTTAGATCTTCAATAGTTTTACAGAGTGTAGTATATGACTAGCCTTGTTGGACTATCTTTAAAGTAAGAAATGAAGCTTTCGATATCAAGATTTATTTATTTCCTTATCTCTATTTATTTATAATGTATGTCACATTTATATTCAGTCAATAAGTAATTTTTACTTCTTTTTTTATTTAATTTCTGACTAAGTCCAGCCTTCAATTGATGCTTCTTTCTGTACGTATTGGTAATATGAATGTTTAAATAATTATTTAGGAATAATATATCCACAAACACATATGTAATGTAAAACATAATCCACAATGAATATCAATATTATGAAATATTTATCAAAATCTCTTAAGTGTTGCTAAAACTCTTCCACTTTTAAAACCGTAGCCGTTTTTGAGTCAATGGTTGTAAGTGAATAACTAAACAAAGTAAAGTATCTTTACTTTACTTTAAAGAATCTTTCGCTATAAAAATAGAGGGTTTACCTTTTATCTAAGATTAAATAGCATTTTTAGTGTATCCCAACTATTACTAGGCGCTTGCGCTTGCTTTGACTACAGATACTGCTTGAAGCGGTAGTCGTTTACACTGCTTTCCGCTGTTTAGCACTGCTTGTCTAGTGTTAGTACTTTCTCACTGTTGTTGTTTCAAGATTTGAAAACAAACTTGATCTTGTAACTTGCAAATAAAGAAAAAGACACCAATCTGTGTCAAATTTTCGTTACGCCCTATCAGTATGACTCTCACGCTGTTGTCGCACTTCTATGTCGCAGCCTGCAGCCACAGCTTTGCTGGCCTGTAATTGAGCAACAAACTGCAACGTTTGTTATATATTTTGGCAATATGAATGTTTAAATAAACATTAATATGCTTAAGCATATTTATAAGTAAAATATTAATATACATATATCCACAAATACATTACAATATAGTAACACATAATCCACAGATATACATATATGTAATGTAAAACATAATCCACAATGAATATCAATATTATGAAGTATCTATTTATCAATATAATGAAATATTTATCTATCTAAGGAAATATGCATGTAACCATAAATTAATCGATCTTTTTTGAAACTTTTGATGTGCGTAGATAAATAAAAGCTCAAGCGCCAAATCGTTGTTTTATTCACATTTCCTCTAATCTTATCACGGTGCTATCGAACATTGGACTGGCAATGAAACTAATGCTATGAATATATTTGTATATACAATTTTATTAGGTATATTTTAATTGTGATACAATTTCAATAGGTTTCCTTTACAATAGATTAAATATTATTTACTTAAATTGACTAAACAATGGTTAAAAAGTTAGAAAATTTGTTTAAATTTGATTAAACTAAAATTGAGTTGATTAAACGCATTTTTGATATGGCGACAAGGATATTAGAAACCTCTACTATAATTGCATAAATAAACTTTAAAAGGAAAATGACTTGATTTTAAAGATTTTTATTTTACGCACAATTGGTCCAAAGCAGTATAATATTTGTTGTTAGTTAAATGAATTAAATATTTTTGTTAATGATTGTTTGGCGCCGTAAAAACTTCTCACTTACGATTTTAATTTGACTTGAAAGCTATTGCAATTCCTGGGGTGTGCGCAAAAGGAAAATTTTACATAATTATTAGCGAATAGTTAACAGATAAATTAGGGGTCTATATATTGTTATTGCAATGTTCAACATTTAGGCACAAAACATATTGCTTTTCAATTGTAGAAATTATTGCATAGTTATATAATGATAGTTAGGTGAAATGGTGGTCCCCTTAGCTTTCAAAGGAGTCCAATAATAACATGTGTTAAAAATAAATCTATGTAAAAATAATATAGCTGCGCTTTACTTGTTATACACGTTTAGTTTAGGAATCATTTTGTTAAATCCACTTCCAGCACAAACTTATAAAAGTTATCAATTTACTTCGTTTAATAATTTCAATTCAAGGCCACCCTTTTCGGAGAGTTGGCCAATACGGCTGTTTCCTTAGCCTTGTTGTGTTCATCTTGGAAAAATACTTTCGTTATGACGATGTCACCAGTGCTGAGAGTTTGAGACTCGGCATCAACCAATTTCACAACACGTTTGTCGTTGGAGCGCAAAATCGGCGTAACACTTCGTTCACCCTGGCAATTGCAGTTCTTCATGCTGTAAATGTTCAATAATTTGATTGTGACACACAATTCTACATATTTTTATCGAAATAGCCTTACTTTCTCGATTTCTCACGTATAATTTGCAGATTCTCTGCGGTTACTATACCCAATTGTTCCTGCATTGGGTTGGAACTAATTATCTGCAATGAAGGGCAAGCATTAATACAAATATAAGCATTCGAAAGCTACGGCCAAACATGCAAATTATTTGCCTACAAATTGATCGAGTTGTACAAATAGTTTTTGAATTTATATTAGAAAAAAGCGATATTGTTAATATAGAACTCTTATTGATTTTAAACGAAATAACTATACCCATGACTTGTGAAGTTCAACAAATTGTATATTAAAATAATTTGCCTGTCTGGCCATTTCTTGAGAAGAATTCAGTTTTACAAAACAAAGAACCCACTTGATCGCATGGCAGCGTTGAGGCAGTCGACAATATTGCCTCGATTTTATCGATGCGAGCCAGACGATCCATCGTCTTATCCGACAATATCTCTTCTAGCATTTGCATAGATTCAGTCAAGCTTGGCGGCTCAGAGCTGAAACGCGGCGAGAAGGTACCCGACAGTGAATTGTCCGAAGGAACCGAATCCAAGCTGGGAAAATTGTCATTCTCGTTGGGTTCCGGCTCATCCTCGGAATCGCTTTGATCTCTGCAATTAATTACAAATAATTAACAATAGTTCTTTCTGATAATAAATCATAAATATTACGCACTTGTTGGCATTGCCAGCAGACTCCATTTTCTCCAGCTTTTTGGCAACTTTATAATACCCTTTAAGACGCTCCTTCTCTTCTTCCGTCAAATCCATATAACTGTAATGAAATTAATTGAAATCACTCTGAATTATTTATATTTTTGAAGCCAATAAAAATACACAGTTCAGAAAAGAAAACGTAAGCCAAAAGTAAAGTACAGAGAGAATACAGAACAGAATCTTAAAGAGTGATTGTGGAAACGAGGAAGATTCAATTTAGAAAGAAAGAAATAGTCTAAATGGTGAAATGAAAAAACAATTGGCGGAGCCAATATGTAAATACATAAATATTGAGCTCAACTTACCGCAGCAAACGTATCTCGCGATTCGAGAGCACAATGCTCTTGCTAGTCTGTGCGAGCTTCTGCTTGAGATCGGAGACCTCTGTGCTTACTTTTCGTTGCTTCTTGCGTATCTTGACCTCGGTGGGCTTGATTTGCATGAGTATTTGCTCGGTGCAGAGCTCGGAGAAGAGCTGTTTATTCTCGGGCTTTATTTGGCGTGCCAGATTGCCAAACAATTGATCGTTGATGAGGACAAGGACATCGCCGGCCGCATAAAGTATCATTTCGCGTGTCAAGGGACGCTTGGCCCAAAACTTCTGATCGCGCCTGTAGACCTGTTTCAACTGATCCTTAATGGGATTACAGGGTGCATTGTATTGCTCGCACAGCGAGTTGAGCGATATGTATTTGGCTTTATAGACTTGCTTCCCATTCTCCTGGTACTGCAATATCGCATGAGCCGCCTGTGTGTCGAAGACGTTGCGCAACAATATACCGAATTGCAGATACAAATTGGCCGCATCGTTCCGGCAATCGTGTATTACTTTAATCACATGCTCGTGCTCGAGGAGGGTTTTCAGGCCACCATCGGTAATAATTTCGGGGCAGGCACGCACATCGAACAGGAAGGCCTCGCCACGCGTAGTACCAATTTCAATGAGCGTTATTTCACCCTTTAGGCCCAGATTGATGCCCTCACAGTCCAGAGATATGACAATGCTTTGGCTACTCGATGCGATTTTCAATATGGCTTCCGTTACGAACAGCGCATCCTTCACTTTATATATGACGCTGGTGTTCTGAAACACCTTTATCTTCCAGGTGTCGCCGACGAAGTAACTGTGACTAGGTGAGTGATTGGCATTGGCATTGTTAGCCGCCGCATTTGTGGAATGTACAGGACTCGAGTGCGTTGAGTTTTGTGTATTGTAGATCGATGAAGCAGTTGCATTTGTTTGATTCGCCAGCGATTGTTTGTCCTTTTCCAAATTCTCTGCAAGATTCCGCTTCACCAGACTGTTGATGCGCTCCTTCAGCGTCTGATTGGCGCTGTTCTGCCGCTCGGAGGTATTGGAGGTCGGCTGCTGCTGCTGCTGCTGATGTGCCTGTTGTGGTACTGCATCGTGCGTATTGATCGGCGCATACGATATGTTTTCGCCTGGATAATTGTTCTCACATAAATTCTCCAGCTTCACCTCAGACATTGGCACGTAGCTGTCAAAACCAGAATTCGGTTCCGACTTGTCTCCGCTGCCACTACCACTGCCGCTTCCGTTCCCGGTGGCGCTACCATTGTTGCCCGTCATATTTGAAACGGGCGCATTCAGTTTGAAGTTCGGTGACGTAATGTTGTTGTTGCTGCTATTGCTATTGTTGTTGCTGCTGCTGTTCGTATTATTATTAATGTTATTGTTGTTGTTAGAATGTGTAAGACCATTGCGCAAACGCTGCTGCACCGTCGACTCCCGCTGATTGCGCTGATTATTGTTAAGGGTATTGAACTGCTCCCGAGATCTCGCCTGCACCTGCTGTATATGCGAGTCGCTGAGCTTGGGCTTCTGCAGCAATGTGACTAGATTGGCTTGCATGTGAAAGCAATCGGAAAAGAGCTTCAGGAACGTGCTCAAATCGCCCGGGGTTTTGAACATACGTAGCCACTGATCCTGCGGGAAGTTGGTGGTCAGCAAATGGAAGAGCTGCTCCACCAGCATAGGACCCTTGAATTCAATGCATTGGGCGAAAAAATCCAGCATTTGCTGGGTGCCACGCGTATCAATGTTCGTTTGTGGCAAGTGTAGACGGTCTCTGGCCGGCAGATCGGTCATATTCTCACAACCGACGAGCATAACATGATCATCGATAACCCTAAATGTGTCCGTGTGCTTCATAAGGAAGTCGGTGAACTCCTTGATGTGTTGACCTGCAATGGAAAAACAGATTAAAGAGTTTTGCAAGCGACTTTTCAAAATGTTCATGGAATTCAAAAAATTCCAAAATCCACTATATTACGAGATATTTTATTATAATACCTAATTCTGTTTTCACACGATCCTTTTTAATTTAAATAAAAATATTGTGACCGCCGTCCTCTGCAATTCTCATACCAAGTACTTAAGTGATGGCCAACGAGAATTAAATTGTTATTGTTTTGATAATTAAATAAAAATATTGTGGAAATAAATTGTGAAATTTCTGATAAATTAAATAATAATATTGTGATAAATTATGTATTTGAATTGCTTCTCACTGATTAAATTAAATTAATTAATGAAAAAAGATATTTCCAATTATATTTCAACATCCTTCATTTAAGTTTTTATCCGTTTCCCGAATAACATTGCAACCGTTTGATTTAAAAGTTAATTACCAATCCTTTACATTGCTATTCGTTTACGGCATGAGGAAGAAATTCATATTCCCTTAGTGCTACGCATCCCTACATCGGAATTCAGAACATCCCAGTATGTAAAATAAAACTCCGTACATGAAAAATATATTTTACGTTCATTTAGTTTTTCAATTTTAACAAAATATCTACAAATATATAAAGTCAATTCCTTACATACATATAAGGGATCTGATGTGGTTTTTTTTCATTAATTGAAAGCAGAACTCAGCACTATCCAGTTTAGCATAAACTTGTATATTATTAATTCAGCTTACCGGATATATGACGGACCTGCGGCGAGGCTTGGGACCGATGCCCCAATAAACTGCGCACCGGCACCTCCGCCTCCGTCCCATACTGTAGCATCTTGTTCTTGAAGTAGTCTTTAGCCTCTTGTATATAATCGCGTTTGCCGCCAAGGCTGCCATCATCAGCATTGCTATGCTGATAGGCATTGACCTGCACGTAGTCACCATCGACTAGAAATATCGATGGATATTGTGCAAGAAATTTCTTCAGACCTGTGAAAAGAGGGCGCATGTCAGTTACTATTATAAAGCTATTAGTTTGTAGGTGCGTGTGTGTGTGTAATGCACAAAGGATGTACATTTTTGTTGGGATTATGTGTAGCAGCAACTTAATTGAATCGTTGGTCGTCTGCGATGCTTTTAATGTGTCAACTTTGCAATTACGTTGAAGTTCTTCGGCAGATAGCGACTTCTCCTGATTAATTGCGAGTTGGAACAATAATGGTCTTCTTTTAATTACCAGAAGAATGCGAATTGGAGTAAAACTTCCCTACTTATCTGTAGCTTACATATGCTGTTCACTGACGGTGTTCCCATAATTAACTTAATGTTTTTTGTTCACAATTCGTAGCTCGTAGTTGCCGCTTGCAGCACAACAAAGTTGGCAAAACTTTGTGTAACTGATTTGTGCGGCGGGTTCATTCAATGGGCCCCACATAATGATACACGGAAATACAATACCATACAGGCACAAACATTGAAAACTATGTAACGAATTAAACAATAATGGTTTCAACTACCCTCAGTCGATTAACTAGATACAGTTTGAAGATAGAATAGAATAGATTGAATAGTTTATTTAAAATAAAAACTGCCTGCTATTTTAGTTCTAGTAAGTGGTTGTGACAAATTGGGCTTAAGTAATCGGAGATACACGAGATTTACAATATTTTACCCCTCTAAAAAAATGCACCTAAACAGAAATTTGCATTTCATCTTTTCTGATTAATAGAATTTAAAAAGATATAATCTAATGATGATAGCTATTTAATCGGATGATTTTACCATTCCGAAATTAACTTTTTTGATGATATTTTAACAATTTGGACTTATCAATTTCGACAGCTTTGATGGAGCTCGCAAATAGTCCAAATTATACGAATTGAGTGATTTTTTGTATAAAGAATAACATAAATAATATAATATTAGCATTTATAAGTGTAGCCATTAGATAATAAATCCTGCCTGGACGAAGTCTATCACAGGAACTTATTTATTTAAAAACAAATCACAATGTGAATGTTAATGATAAAAATATATTAGTTTTAGTTTTAGTTCTAATAATTATAAATGTCAAGTCGCTCAAATTCAGAATAGTTTTGAAAACGCTTCAAAATCATGCATTCTGATGCGCATAATAGTCAAAGCTCTGTCCAAAAGTGAATGCACTCCAATCAAAGGGAAGCTTCGCAAAGCTATTTTTGTTTGTTGATTTGATAAATCAGGTCATATGTAGTTGTTGACTGACTACTGAATGCCGACAGACAGACAGGCAGACAGCGACTGTTGCTCGTTACAATCGTATTCAGGCATACAAGTATACATAGGTATGTTGTGTAGAGACTTTTGTTTGCCTATTGTTTGCGTATAATATCGTGACGGCATCGCAGTATTCAGCGGGCACGGGCTTTAATGGAAAGAGTTGTTGTTGTCATTGTTGTAGTTGGCATCGCGTGTCATTGTTGGTGTTGTAGCTTGTCTGTCAACATTGTCAAACTGACTTAATAACTTGTTCACAACACTGAACATAAATTAATTCAATTGCATTTCCAGATCACAAAAATGTAAATTAAGACTGATGGCATAAAATGCTAAATATGTGCAAGCATACTTGCATAATAATTATGAAAGTAAACACACCTTACATAAGTGAAAGCTTATTGGGGATTTAAAAGAGATGGAAGTAATAAGTATAAGCAAATCCCGGCACTAAATTAAAGTAATCCGGGCACATCCTATTCAGGACCCTTATGGCAAATGAGCCACAAAGCTGACAAATTGCTGTAGAATGGAACCAAAAGAGAGAAATGTGAATGAAACCTACCCCCCCATAAGGTAGTTGCAATCCGTAGAAGAGGGGAAATCATTTTACATTTGCGCTCAGCAACATGTGCATAATTCAATTTAATGTTTACTTAAAGAAATTGGAAATGGTGGCAGGCTGGCATCGGGCAGATCCTTGCCAAGTGCTTCGCTGCTTAGGTGATTGGGAATTCTCGGTTTCAGACCAAGTCGAACTTCATAAAATTTGCAAAACACCAAATACTACATAATATTATTTATTGCCAGTCTGAAAGTATTGCGACCACATTTTTAATATATTCTCATAGTGCCAAGCGGAGCAAACATTTGAACATCTCAGCACACAACTGTAATGCATGTGTGTACAGTAAAAACGGACTAAGTATAACCAAAAATCGATATTTAAACGCGAGCGTACAAACTTCCAAATTGTTAACTGAAATCGTTTACACAAAATGTACCATATTTTTATGTTCCTTAAATCGAGAAACCAGATACGATAACAACGTTATCTAGATACATTATAATTTATATTGATTATTAAGAAACCGCTAACATATTGTAGTATTTTTGTTTTGAAGTCAAATGCGCATGCGTTGGGTAGGCTTACTTCAAATTACTTTTTTACAGACTTCATTTATTTAAACATTCACAATTCAAAACAATCAATTCTGTTGGCGGACTTAAGAGGATTTGTTAAAATACTTTTTAAAATGAAAGGCGGGTTTTTTTTACTACCTACTCTAAAAAGAACAATAATTGCACACCCTAACCTAACACTCTTTTCAAATTATCACTGAGATTGGAGTCGAAAAGGAAAACAGGCTTTTATATGGAAGAAAAATGGTAATGAAGCTTTGGCGCAATCGATATCATTTTAAAAAGTTGTTCACCAAGTTGACGACACTGCCAATGCCAAGGAAAATTAAGAAGAATTACATAATAGAATCAGGGTATAGAGATACGATAGCGTTTACCAAGCCTCGCTTATACAAGAATTCTTTGAGCTGCGAAGATGTCTTTTTTCAGTTCAGTGTGCTGGGTTTTCCGAATTTACGATTTCACGCGTAGGCAGTCTCCACTGTATGGCTTATATGACTCAATATTGGCCTGCTGTGCGCCTCTGTTTGCATAGCCGCATTTCTTGGCAAACATTTTCGGCTCGAAGCACGCCATTTGGGCAGGTGGCGATGGAGGTGGCATAAACACACTTTACGGCCGACCCAGTTGGACACATTTTGTGGCAATTTTCAAATGCACCGAGGACATTTGCTATAAATTTATGTATATTTATGTTTACTTATTGAAATGTTACACAGAGAGGAAGTGCTTGGACAGGAGGCGATACATGAAATAAACGTGTTGCGGATACTTCCAGATATTTTAGTGCTGTCTACGTCTAAGTAAACCAGGTAAGAAGGTAAAAGGGTTATGGTCAATAAATTTAAAATTTTATGTCTCATAACGAAAGTGATGTGTGGCACATTTTATGTACAACCCGAGGGCCATAGATGGCTTTAACAAGAGCATGCGTAGGGGGTATATTTCATAGCAATATGTCTGAAAATAAAATATGAGTACATATTGCAAATAATTTTTCTTGCAGCTCCGTTTAATTGAGTAAAAGTACAGAAGTTTGTGGAGTACTTCCTTATAAACTCATTAATTCATAACGCTTGTTGACGATTATTAACAAAATGTTTCATCCATTATGCTAAACAACATTAAGCTGTAAATAATGAATAACAAATCAAATATAAGTCAAAGTTTTTGCAATTAATTCGACAAAACAGCGCGCTCGACAAACCAAAGCACCCACCCCGCCCAAATGCCAAAAATCAATGCTGCCGCCAACTGAGAATGACATTTCCTTGAGCAAAAGTTAACAATAACATAAACCTTGAAGGCCAAGGCATGCGACGCACGCAAAATTTCCATGCGTGCCAGCAAAATCGAAAGCAGCAGAGCCACCACCCCCAACCCCCCTCCCTCGTCACCCACACCACGCAACCGACCTCATCAGGGCGTGAAAGGATTGTGAGTTGGGGGAACAGCGGCAACGGCAACAACAACAACAACAAATGTAGCAACAATGTGTTGCCCAAAAGCGCTATAGGCATAAAGACGTTAAATTTATGTCTGTGTGCCTTTTGGGGTGTTGTGGGGGAGGGAGTGTACGGAAGGGAGTGGTTGTGTGTGTGCGTGGTAAGTGGGAGGGAGAATGTGTTATGCAAAGGATTAGTTGATGGAATTGAAGCTTAGACTGCTTATCAAACCCACTAGTAAGGAGGCGATCCGTACTCCATCAATCATTCAATCAACCGTGTCAATGCTGCAGCTGATTTCGCAAATCGAAACGTAAATAATATGTTTCAATGGTTAAGTGATTGGCGGAACACTTGTTCGACATATTTAGCCCTCAATTCATGAATATGTTTGAACTGCGATGGGTCGTGAATAACTGAATTAGTTTTACAATAAAAAGTAAAAATATAGTGCGTATCCAGAACTAGAAATAACGCTAGATTGTGAGAAAAGGCAATGCGTATTGAGGTGAGAAATATTGCTAGCTTATCTGCTTTGCAATCAATTAAAGCTGCGGCTAGGTTTAAAGTCTAAAATCATTAGGGTGAACGAAGTTGGAACACTTTTCTAAGACTTAGTGTTAACTAAGGAAGAACTTAACTATCATACGCATTTAACAAGTTTCTCAAAAGCCAACAGTTTTAAAACAGGTTTTAGAAATTGACATCTGAATTTAAATGCGATTGCACAATTTCTCTGAAAATTATGTGTGACGAGGTTTGTGAATTTTGTTGAATAATAGCGAACTAAACAAGAGTTTTTGTATAAACACGTCCATCCAAAGGACTTCGAACATTTGATCCGAAAACAAGAGGCGTATTTAATAAGTGGACCTAAAAATATCTTTAAATATTTCTGAACACTTTTAGTATAATGTCAGCAATATGTCGTTAGAAAATATGGCACAGACATGAGATGAAAATTATTGATTAGTTTTCTTACCCTCTTACATTTTCCTTCAATAAGAGGTATTTGAAAATTAATGTATATTCGAATACTATATGATCAAGTTATAAAATATACAGATCACTAGTAGAGCTTAAAGGAAAATGTTTTGAAATCGAGTATCGAAATCATTTTTAGGAATTCAGAATATTTATGGATTC